AAGCTATTCTAAACTAATTTATTGTTGTTTAATTTATTTCATCAAGTCACTCACTTTGAATATAAGTTTGTTGGAGTAAATCTTCTGATGATTCTGAATCTAAATCTAAAAGTTTTCAAATATTGGATCAAATTTCGTGCAAAGCAATTGATTTCTCTGTAGACTTGTCATTTGCCTCCGTATTTTTATTTTCTAATGTCAAATTCTTTAACAATAAAAAATAAGTCTAATACTTTATTTGTGACGGCTTTGTTACTATTTTTCAAAGCATCATTCTAATGAAAAACTTATAATTTAAAAAGTTTTATATTAAAAAAAGTTATTGTAGAAAATAATAATAAAATTATCAAAAATAAAAGCTAAATTTAATATATCAAAATAAATATTACTTCCACCATTAAATAACCAAAATAATCCTTTTCTAAATTCAGAATAGGTTATTCGTATCAATGAGAAGAGGAATAAGTTAATAACATACGATTGAAATAACTACGAAAGTGCTACGAAGAGATCAAATCACATTTGGCACGCCCAGTATCTTTTGAGAAAGTGAGATGAAAAGGACACGTGGAAAGTTTTAATTCCACTAAATATGACACGTCTGCATTCGTTGTAAAGCGGCGTCGCACCGTCAGCTGTCGGCCTTCTGCCGCCGCATGCGACAAATTCTAGTTTCCAGCCAACCACGTGAAATAACCATATGGTGGCCATCCTTTGCTTGCCTAGTTTTTGGAATCCCAGGAGAGAGCCCGATTGTTTTATGGAAAAATAAGTCCTTTTTTTATATATAATTTGAAATAAAAATATTATATTTCTATTTGATATCTTATCAAAAATCATCATAATCAACTACGAATCTCAAAACATATATAAATTGATAACTTCTCAAATTAAATGCAAGGCCATACACTTAAATTTCAATAAACTTATAATCAAATGACAAATCCAACGATATCAAAATCGAAATAGCAAGAGCCCAAATTGGTCCAAATCGGAGGTGAAAGCACATTTTGAAGGTTCAAAGTGTAATAAGTTTAATATGTGAAATAAATTTATTTGAAAATCATAAAAATTTTGAAGTATAACACTCTGGCGCTAATCTGGTGAGCATTGCAGCGCTAGGCCATGAACAACATATAAGATCTTCCTGCCTCTCTCCATCGACTCACTCACTTGGTTGATTGGCCAAAAAGAAATTGAAAGATGGGAAGAAGAGAGAGGAGATAGAAAGGCTTTTGGATTATATTTGTCAGTTGTTAGTTACAAATTTTATTCCATTTTTTCTAAATTTCTATCTTCATATTTTTATTTTTGATGATTTTAATTTCTATGAATTTTATCTCTCATAAATATGTCAAAAATACATTATCTCATGATTTCATAAGTTTCATAATGCAAGTTTGGATATGTTGTAGATTTGATCATTCTGAATAATTTGATATAATTTTATTACATTTTAAATGAAATATTAAATCATATCATATAGATGATATGATAACTCTACTTGATACCCTACTAGTCCACATAATTCACTAATTGGGAGTCATAAGGAGTTAGAAATTGATTGAGAGCTATACGAAGTCGAGGCAGCTGATTCTTGTAATTCAACGGGTGTTATATAAAGTACATTAATTGGGAGTTACAAGAGGCGACTAAGTAAGAGTCATAAGTGTAGGTGTAAGATAACCTTATAATACTCTTATTGAATATCTAAATAAAAATACAGACAATGCTATGAATAATGTATTGATATTATGACTACCACTAATATTATTTACTCATTAACAATATTTAATGTTATTGATCATGATACTAATATATATTAATACCAGTATTAGTACTGTTAAGATTTTAGTTAATTGATAGATTATATGCTCATTACGTGATTTTATATATTTTTAGGTAAGGGCGGTAAGGATCTTATAATATAAGGCTCCGAACAATATGCATAATCTTTTTACATGCAGTTCTAAAAAAAATATAATTATCTTTCTTTCCACTATTCATTGGTAAGTCATAGTTAAATGGTTAAAATAAAAGATAAATATAATTATTTCAATATATATCCTAATGTGTGATACAAAGCATAAATTAGATGACCAAATGATATTCAAATATAACATGCTTAAAATTCAATCAAGTGGCTAGAAGAGATGAGCCCAACGAGCCCAAGAACGACTACTTCCAACATTGAATGAATGCTCTATAATTGAGGGAGTCAATATGAGCCGTTTAATGGAGCACTCAGAAATTACCCTAGATATTTGACATATTTACAAAGCACGCCACCAATAAAAATTTATAAATAGGCGCTTGCTCTCTTCATGACTGAATTCTTTGGCTAGAGATTGGAAGGAGCTCTAAGGCTTCAATGATCCTAGAGTTCCCCAACGACGAACCACCACCAGTGAACTTCAATCAGCCGTCGTTGGACCACTACATGTCCACCACCTATTATTGAAACATTGCCCATCCACAGACCGTTGTCGAACCATTGCCCGTCAGCCAACCACCGCCTGACCTATGCTTAGTCACCTAATGCAGACATACTACCATCAGTCCTTCGATCAATGTCGATCCTTCGCTCGACCACCAACCACCATTGGACCTCCGCATAGCTGCTATTGGCACACCACTGTGACCTCCGTCGATCAGCAACTACGGTCCCACCGACTTCCATCATCCACCGCTTTTGGTCCGACCGACCCCCATCAGCCTCCCACTACCATCCATCTGACCATTGTAACTTGCCAAATACGATCCATCTGACCCTTGTCGCTCACCAACTACAGTCAGTCCGACCCCCATCACCCGCTGACTACGGTCCCTCGTACCTTTTTTGCCCGTCGAATATAGTCCCTTTAACCTTTGTCGCCCCTTACTATATGATCTATACGACCTCCTTCGTTCGCCGTCTAGTGTCCCTCTGACCTCGGTCGCCTGCCGACTAAAATCCCTCAAACCTTTTAATACGGTCACTCTAACCTCTAATTATGATCCATGTGATTTCCATCACCTGATGACTAAGGTCCCTTTGATCACCAATGCTGATGGGCGATGGTGGTCGGAGGCATCATAGTTGGTGGATGATAGTGATCAGAGGCACAGAGTTAGCAGGCAACGGAGGTCGGATGGAACTTAGTTAGCAGGCGAAGTTTGTTAGAAGGACCATAGTAGGAGGGCGACAATGGTCGAAGGGATTGTAGTCGGCGAGTAATGGATGTTGGAGGCACCGTAATCAATGGACAATGTGCATCGGAGGAACTGTAGTTGACGGGTGATGAGGGTCGAAGGGATCGTAGTTAGAGAGTAACAGAGGTCGGATGAAGGCCCAACGATGGTTGTCGAATGGAGGTACGACAATGATGGCAGGAATGAGGTCCATCAACGGGAGCCTAGTGGCGAGGGTATGCCGATGGTGGTGTCGGTGTGGAGCTCTGGGATGCTTCAATCCTCAGAGCTCTCTTGGGTCTCTAGCTTAGGGTTTAAGCCTCCAAAGGTCTTAGCTCCACGATAAGCTCCCCTTCATGTGGGAAGAAGGGATTTATTTATAGATTTTTTTAGAGTTGTTCATAAATATAGAGAAGATTAAGGACAAATACATAGTGCCTTCAGACAACCCATATATATTCCTTCAATCATGGAGAGTTCATGCAAAATTTAAGTCCCTTAATGATGCTAGAATTAAAAATCTTGGGCTCATTGGATTCATCTTGTCGAGGCGCTCGATTTGACTATAAGTATTTCAAATTTGGATATCATTTGATTATCCAATTTAATGTTTGAAGCTCTTAAATATGCTTCGGTTTCTTTATTTTGACCCATTTGAGCTCAGATCAATCCAATTCTGATGTCCTTGGGTCTGTCTAGCTCATTGAGACGTTTAATTTGACCATAAGTTTATTGAAATCTAAGTTTGGATGGCCCAAAATTTAATTTTTAAAGCATTCAATTTTTATATGCATTAAGATTTGTGCCTCATGATCATGAAGATCTTGATAGACGTATCAAGTCTTAATTAAAGCTCTACTATGACACAAATATGATAAAAAAATTAAAAATTTTGAATAATAAGTCTGAATGATATTTAAATTTATGTTATGTTCAAATTTGATTCAAAATAGACAGGAAAATAAAGGAATGATCTTCAATAAGATAGCACCCGATCTGTTCGATTTTGTTATAATTCTATTTATAGCCTTAATAAAATGTGAAAAAAAAATTTAACATTTAATCATACTTCCAAATACTCTGATTATAGCTCAAATGTAGTAGTGATTATAATCAAATCACATCATCAATTAATTCAATTCAATTTGAGTATGTTATGGTTTCATCTGATTTTAAATATCTGGATTAATTTCTCATTATTTATGATAAAAATCGAACCATTAATTACCATTAAATAATATATATAACACATGCTTGTTCCTCCCAAAGCTTCCATGGTACATACAAATGAATACAAATATCTCAATTACCATACATGCGTGTATTGCCAGACCATACATACATTCTATGAGATGGAGCAAGCATTCGGGTTCTCATCACTGAACATCTGCGGCGGGGGCAACAGCTGCGGTCGATCGAAGAAATACATGGTCGTCGGCATCGGCATCTGCATAGGCATCCAATGATGCATCATCATCATCCTCTTCGACATCTCATCATCATGATATTGATTCATCATATACCCACCCGCACCATTCCAATACATCATCCTCTTCACCATCTCCTCATCATTGATCATGGCCTGCACCGCCGCCGCCGCCTCTTCCTTTTTTGGAGGCTCTTCGGCACCGGAGGAAGGTTTCTCCTCTTTGTTTCCTACAGAGGATTTTTTATCATCAGTTTCTTCCTTTTTTCCGTCTTCTTGGGGAGGTTTCTGAGAATCCTCTTTCTTTTCTCCGTCGTTCTTCTTCTCTTCCTGTGGCGGTGGAGGCGGCGGCGGAGGAATGATTGTCGCGAGCTTTCCTGTTAAATTTATTCCAAATAAGGCCTTAATTACCTCTCATCTTCATTATCTTTTTCCTTAGTTGTTGAGCACAGGCATCGCAGTGCATGTTAACAAACAGCTCCACTGTAACGATCCCACTTTCCTGTTCATTTAATTAAAGAAATTAGATACTAATTAAAGAGCTTAAGCAGTTATTCCTTATCAATAAGACAAGTTACATATATATAATTAACATGATTATAATTTAATTAATAATATTTAAATTAGTTAATTAAGTAATTAGTGTACGTGCGATTAATTACCTGAGGCGGTGGTGGTTCTGCTTTGGTGGAGTCAGCAGCAGCATCTGCTGGGGGCAGTGGGGAGAGGACTTTGGCATTTCTTAATGTTTTCTTTTGAATGTGCGAACACAAAGCCTGTGGATCCACTATTCCTTTTACTGTCACCTCATTCTTTTCTATGTTCATCTTCACCTCTTCAACTCCTGATCATTTTTTTTAATAATGAATCATCAATAAGTAAAAATAAATAAATAAATACATAAAAACTTTCTTATTTCAAGCCTTTATATTTTGGGATAGCTTTCTAAAACAGTTTATTAAAAAGCTGCTTTAGAAAGCAGCAAAAAAACTGTTTCAAATGAAATTTTATTTTAATAACTCATGCATGCATGCTTCGTTTGAGACTGCTTCTTAAAGCAGATTTTCAGTATAAAAATTAAAAATTTTGTACTAAAAAATTATTTGAAAAAACAATAAGAAAACAGTACCAAACTGAATATCATTTGAGAAATTTGGCCCAAATTTAACAAATGAATTGGTCTCTTTTTTAAAAGTGGGCAAGATAAAATGATGTGTGCTTGGCATTAGCCGTGAAATAAAAAAAATGTGAAATTTTAATTAAATGTATTAATTAAGGGAAAAATATTTAAAACATTTATTCTATTAAGAAAAAAAAAACTTATATAAAAATTTAGATCATATATTTCATTAAGTTATATAAAAACTAGTTATAGCTTTTAAAAATAGTTATTGAAATTAACAAATTCTTAATATAAAAGTCAAATAAAATGCAATCTTTTTTTATCAAAAAAGGGAATAAAAAAGTGAGAAATAAAATGGTAACAGGTAAAGTTTCAATTTTGCTGTCTCCTTAGAAATTTTAGTTTTGCCATTGCTTGCACCCCTTAATTTTAACATGAAATTTTTTTATAATTAATTATAATTATACATAGTATGAAAATTGAGCTCATAATTCCTAATGTAATTACTTATATAAAATTTCTTATAATATTTCTTACAAAAATGGTGTTGAAACTATTTTAGGGTTGATTTGGGACGACTTTTTATTACTTTTTAAAACAATTTTTTAATAAATAGTAAAAAAACTATCCCAAATGAAAGTTCAAAAAATAATTTTCTAATATAAAATTTTTAATTAAGAAAGTAGCCCCAAAGGAAGCTTTAATTTCATAAATGTGAAGTACTTCACAAGTAAAATAATTGAGAGAGAGCAAGACCTCTGCACTTGAGAATGGATTTCTCAATCTTCTTTGCGCAACCAACACAGTGCAAATCAACGAAGAGAACAATAGGAGGAGGAGGTGAGGGCTTCACCTCTTCTTTCTTCTCCTCTTGTTTCTCCTCTTTATGTTCGGTGGCCGGTTTCTCTTCTTGCTTAGGCGCTTCAGCTGCCTTAGCTTCTGCCTGCATAATCCATACAAATGAAATTCTCTACAAAACGAAAAGATTTAACTTACTAATGAGCTAAAAAATCCATAGAAGAATGGCTATCTCTACCTGTTTAGCTTCTTCACCCATTGGAAATGGTAGAAAAAGAGCAAGGAGGAAGAGGGACTAAAACTATTCTCCAAAGCTTCTTATATAGCTACAGCTTGAAAATTACAAGACAAAGAGAAGAAGGAGAGGGGGTGGTGGCTTTTAGTTGTAAAATTATTATTAAAGCTCTATATCATTCCAATGCACATGGAGCACCACTCCTTTGCAAGCTTAACTAGCGAAGGAACCTTGAGATCATACTATTATGTATATCTAATGAATGCCTGAAATGCTTTTATTTTTCTCTCAAAGGGTGGAGAAAAAAGAGGGAGAGAAAGAAAAGAGAGCTGGGGTTTTTATCGAGCTAACTAGCTAGTAGGAAGGTGGCAAAAGCAAGGGAAAATGGAAAATAAAGATACTTTTGAAAGTTGTAACTTTTAGAAAGAGAGAACTACCAAGAAATGTTGACATGACTCTACTGTTCTTTTTTTTTTTTTCCTTTTTCTTTCAAATGCTTTGTTACTCTTGTGGGTGACGGAGCCAGAAATTTTATTCAGGGGCTCTAAATTAAAATAGTTTTGTCTCGTCTAGAAGGTTAGAATATATTAAAATAGTTATGTTTAATGTCTCAAGAAAACATGTAAGATCAAAATTAAGAATGCAAATAACATGATCCTTAGAATTTAGAAGACATAGACATTTACCACGGGCGGTCTTCATTAGAGGGCGAGAGAGGAGCGAAAGGAAAAAATGAAAGCCGTGCTTTAAACACCTTTAGGCTTTCAGTATTAGTTTTAGCCAATCATTTAGAGGGGATCTCTCGTCCATAATGGAAAGTCATTCCTCCTCTCTTTCAATATTTTGCCCCATTAGTCTTTCTCTCTCTACAGCTGAAGCATTGCTTGGTTATAGAAAGACGAGAGGATTTTGGTAGGGAAGGGAATATTTGAATTTCTATCATCCATGCATGCTTTGAAAGGGGGTGAGTAAGCCACATGGTAGGGTTGGTTGTGTGGACCTTTGTAGAAGCTAACTAGCAATGAACTTTGGGAACCAATAGATACCACCTATCTTATCCTTAATTATCACTTAGAAGGTCGGTTGGAGATATATTTTTTTCATGAGATTGCTTAAAGAAATTTGTGGTTGCGGGTGATGATGGGGAAATCTCAATCAAACTATTTGTATCAGTTCACTTGTCATTCATTGATCATAGGCTTCAGAAATCAGAATAAAGATTAAGAATTTTTTTTTTTTTCAAAATGAAAGCAAAATATCACATAGAAACAGTTCTTAAGGACAAATTTACCTAAGATCTTTTTTTATTGACTAAAACAAAGCCTAATTATGAATCAAGTCATTATTGCCTTGGATTGTTAATCTTGGTCTGTTAGTTGAGATCTTTTGCTATCAACAAAAATATCTTGAATTCAAGTCTTGCATATGTGAAATCTGTGCAAGTTTTATGAAACTATTCATAATCTCTCATCCAAGAGGCTTTGTGAGTTATCATTTTAATCTCTTTTTTTTTTCTTTTTTTTTTTTTGATTGATCAATAAAAATAATAACTGATTATGTACACTTAGAATGTATAAATGTATAGTTTTCGTAGATAAATTATATAATTAATTGGACTAGATGTAAAAATACATTTTAAATGTACAATGATTTGTTCAATTAGACTATTATAGTTTGTGATATGTTTATTTTAGTTATTATTTTAAAATATGTAAAATTTATACTTTTCAAGGGTAAAATGCATTGCATAGTCCTTAAAAAATAAACAATTTTTATTTTATAATATAATGCAAATATTTTTATTCTTAAAATTTTTCTATTACAAAATATTTCAGAAAGCACTAAAAAAATTGTCCCAAATAAAATCTTATTCACTACAAAATATCAAAACTAATAGCAATTTTAAAGTCAGTGTTAATATGTGATGGGGACTAGCCGACAAAACATTGCATAGTACTTAATAATTCTGAATTGAATTCTATTGTTAAAGGGACCAAAGTAAGGAATTTTACATAGTCTGCCACTTTATCATTAGATCTAGGAATTTTTTTCATTTGATAATTAATAATTAATGAACTAGCCGACAACGTTATTGCTGTTGGAGATTAGTACTCTGCATGTGAAACATGGTGCACTTAATCATTTCTATGTAGTAAATAGTAATGAATGAGCAAACAATTGATATAAATATAATGAATGAGATCTCTCGTTTATGTAGCAGATTTGTATTTGAACAAAGACAAAGAATATTATAGTGAAAATAAAAGTCAAACGGAATAATGATTGAGATATTAAAGCAAAATAGTGAAAATACTATCCCAAACAAACTCTAAAGGCATTTCCAACCGAACTTCATACCCCTGTTTGACATCTGTGAACCTCCAATCAAACGGCAAAAGACGTGTCATTCTCTCGTTCATGAATAGTGCGACGTCAATCTTGGCGTCGCACTGTTCACAAACGAGTTTTTAGCTGAAAGTGAGAAAGTGGATGGGAGAAAGGCTAGCGTGTGTGGATATACATAGAATTTTCTTTTTGGAATTAGGAAATAGAGTTCGGTTGGAAATGAATTAATGCATTTTGAAGTATTATTGTATTTTGGAGTGAAAAATGTGTTTTCTGGTTGGAGATCATCTAAGTAAATTATGTTGGACTTTAAAGTATATTAAACCTTTGTATTGGCGACTGAGATTTCATTCGGGGTGATTTTTTAACTATTTTTTAAGTAATTTTTTAATATAAAAATTTCTTAAATTTAAAATTTTTATACTATAACGATGCTTTAAAAAAGCATTTAAAAAGCTGCCCCAAATGAAGCTCAATTTCATAATTTTTTAGGTGAAACAATATCATTATTTTATATTCTTAGGTTTTTCCTTATTATTTTAGGTCAATTATATTATTTATTTTTGGCAAAGTGTTACATCTTTTTTTTTTAATATATAAATTTAATTCACATGCAATTAGTTGGTTAAGTTATTTGATCAATTAGAGATGGGATCTAAGCTTATTAAAAAGTCAGAGGAATATTAGTTTTTTAAATTATTTTGGGATAGAAAGAAACATCCTTCAATAGAAGAAAATGATAATTTCTTTTTTCAATTTTATTTTTAATTAAACAGAAAAAATTTTTAGTATAAATGCAAAGCAAGTTTTATACATCATGGAAAATTTACCCATTATCAATGGAGTTTTTTTCTCGCCAGAATTTATTACGGTAATTAACTATCCCGGCATAATTTTTTATGAATTTTTTTGTCGAAAATATTATTTAATTCCGCCATAGTTTCCATCACTTCAAAAATTTCTGACGGATTTTTTTTTTTTTTGTGACATTTAGGCCATTTTAAGGCAAACTCATACACACAACGCATACACATAAACTCGAACCCTGGACTTCTTAGTTGGAAGCCTAAGCTCTCAACCAATAGGCCAAGGAGAATTGTGTGGATTTTCATTCATCAGTTAACCTAGTCATTTTTCATCAAAAATTTAGTATAAATTAATTAGAAAATTTTCCTTAAAAAATTATTTTTCTACGATCATTTTACGGGTGGAAAAAAATTTCATCAATAATCTACAGAAGATTATAAATAGGGCTGCAAGCGAACCAAACGTTAGACGAGCTACGTACTATTGTTCGGTTCGACTAAAGCTCGTTTGTGATCGTTTAATTAACTAAACAATACACTTAAACAATATTTTAAATACTCGATTCGTAAATAAACAAACTTGAACATTAATGCGTTCAACTCATTTATGTTCGTGAACAACATCATTTGAAGTTTGTGAACAAGCTCGACATTAAGCTCGATAAAAGCTCGTTTCGTGTTCGATTTGAACTCGAGAATAAGCTCTATAAAAATAATTAACATTTGACTATTGATACGTCATGCAAAAAATTATATTGATCGGGCACGAACCTCGAGGCAAAAAGCTAGCCGGAAACTTCAAAAATTAAATCTGGGAGCACCTGAACTCCGATTTCAGCGAGCTTATAGTCAAACCGAGCGTATCGGAAATACGAGCCCAACGACACCAAGATCAACCCAATCCGAGCCCAAATGAGTCCGAATCAAGGGCTCATGAAAGAGCTGTTGGAAGGTTCAAACCGCAATTTGAGTTACCAAACGGTCTCCGATTTTGACGAGCTTATACTCGAATCGAACGGGTCGACGAGACGAATCCAACGAGCCTAAGATCTCTGAATTCCGACATCATTAAGGCCTTCAAATGCCCAACGAACGGTGCATGATCAAAGGATTCGATATCAGCTGTCCATTCAAAACACTCCCAATTCGCCCATGATCTCACGCCTATTTATGGGCTATGCCACTCCAAAAAAACTATAAATAGAGCCCTCATTCTACACCAAAGGGGCTCAAGGGAAGAGAGAGAAGAAGAAGAGGAGAAAGGGGAAAAGGAGATTCCTCACCTCCTCGACCACCGCCCGAGCTCTTCCTGCCGCCTGAAGATGCCGAAACTCTGCAGGATATTCGGGAGAATGCCAGAATTCCGCCCAACTTCCATGGGATGCTGAAATTCTTCCCAACTTACAAGAGATTTCCCTCATGACGCCGAAACTCCGCCCAAGTGAATCCGGAGTTCTCCTCTGCCACCAAAGACGTCGGACTTCTACCCGACGTCGGACCTTCACTCCTCGCCAAGTTTCTACCCGATGCCGGAATTCTACCGGTTATCGGACTTCGCCGCCGACTGCAGTCCTTCTAACAAAGCGAATACGTCGATAGCAGCTCTTTATATTTACATCATGTAATGTACTCCATAAGATGTACATCAAGCTAAGACCTTCCACCAAAGAAGGGCCTCATTTGTAATCGACTGCAATACTAGTGGATTCATTCAAACTGGGCTAGGCCCCATGGTTTTTCCCCCTTTTTTCTGGGGTTTTCCACGTAAAAATCTTGGTGTCTCATAAATGCTAGACCCTTTCTGTTATCTGATTGCGTGCCGGATTTTCGTACAACGCTAAGACGATAAACTTTATATTTCTCTACCGCCACGAATACTTCTGGACCCTAAACTATAAAATTAATAAATATAAATAATCATTGCCTTTGTTACATAGACAATTATTTTTATTATAAATATATTTGTTCATAGATATGTTCATGAACTTGTTTGTTTGATAGTTAAAAAAAATCGTTAAATATGTTCGCGAACAAGCTCGATAACCATTAAACGAACGAACATAAACTGAACATGAACGTACACGCATTAATTTAAATGAATCAAATATGAACCCAAACAATAAAACTCGAACAAACATGAACCAAACTTGAACAAACTGATATTAAATGAACACAAATATGAACACTTACATACTCGACTCGGTTGGTTTGCAGCCCTAATTATAAATTCCGACAGA